TCACTTCTTATAATATATGCTTCCATTCCATTGTAATATTTCTATAAATTCCATGTAGTGGTTTTACGATCAGCATAAGGAAAGGGAAAAATAAACTTTACCAGCAATGGCTTCATGGAGGCCACCTTTATATCCTAAATACTCATACTCTTCAAATCTCTGAGGCCCCTCACAAAGGATTCTGCACTCCATATCTTCATTGAAATATTCTCTTAAAGCCTGCTCAAAGTACTTGATAGCCACCTCAAAGTTATCAGCCTCATAATGCTTAACTCCCACACTGTAACTCTCCTGCAAAGAAATAGAGAGGGGGAAAAAAAAAAGAGTATTTTCAAAGACCAGGATATAGGGAAACTCAGGGTCATTAGTTTCCTGCGTACTGGATTCTTACGCTGAGGAAGGATAAAGAAAGATTGCAATTGCAGATAAAGTATAATTACCCTGGCATCAAATAATTACAAATAAAAGGAGACTTACTGAGCATGTATTCTGTGGCACTAATCAATTTCATTTTCTTCCTGAGTACATACGAGACTATTTTCTAATCCTTTGCCATATAAAGGGGCATGTAACAAGTGCAGGGCCACAGATGTGAGTGCAAGTGATGTATCCTTTCACACCTGGCCCAGTTAAAAGTAAAAGATTCCTCTCGTATTCTTGTCTGCAGTGATTTAGAAGCCACATGTGGAGAATAGTGAGGTCAAATACTGAAAGAACTAGTCCTTTCAACATGTGATTTTGAGTAATATTTTATCAAAACAAAGAATTTTATGGCTTTTTAAAAACCTCGTGGGGGACCAGCAGGTGATGGGATGGTTAAGGCACTGGACATGTCTGACCATGGTTCAAGTACTGGAAGTGGCAGTTTGCTTTTTCTTTTTCTTTCTTTCTTTTTTTTTAGAAATCACACCCCAGGGGATATGGCCATGCCACAATCCCTTCTCGTCCATTCTCCTCTCAGGATCTTGGGCACGCACACGCACACGCCAGGTGTGAGTTTAAGCCACCAGGTCCAGGACTCGAACCACAGTCGACTACATGGGAGTTCAGCAATATAGCCATTGCGCTAACTGCTGGTCCCCAGCTTGCTTTCTTACTTTCCCTCTCTCTCTCTCTTTCTCTCTATGTGTTTCTCTCTGGTCAAATTAAAATAAATGAATAAATAAATAAAATAAAATAAATAATTACTTTAAGTAGTTTGGGGCCAGCAGGTGGTGTGGTGGTTGAGGCAATGGACTTCCACATGGCTGACCATGGTTGAGATCCCAGACCCAGTGGCTTGAAGCTCATGCCGGGCTTGTGTACATGCATGGTGAGATCCCAGGAGGGGAATGGAGGAGAAGCTATTGTGGAGTGACCATCCACCCTGAGGGGTGATTTCTCACTTTTCTCACACTGTTTCTCTTTGATGAGGGCCCAATGGTAAAAGCCATAAAACAATAATAAAACCCAGTAAGAAAAGTATAAGTACATGGACAAACCACTGGACCATGAGCTAGGAGATCATAGTGTGACCTGGGCAATTCACATTGGCTCTGTCAACTTTTAGGTGTAAAATGAAACTGTAAGTGGGGAACCAGCAGTTAGCGTAATGGCTATGTCGCTGGATTCCCACGTAGTCGACCGCGGTTCGTGTCCCGGACCCGGTGGCTTAAAACTCACGCCGGGCGCGTGTGCGTGCGTGCCCAAGATCCCGAGAGGAGAATGGAGGAGAAGGGATTGCGGCGTGACCATCCCCCCTGGGGGGTGATTTCTCGCTTTCTGTCTCTATGTCTCTCTCTGTCTGTCTGGCGAGCGCACGCGCCCTACAGTGAAAATCTCTCCAAAAAAAAAAAACGAAACTGTAAGAGAGCAGCTATGGCTCAAGATTATAGACATTCAAGTAATATGCTGATTTTCATACTGTATTGACTTTCTAAGGTACTTTTAATTTTCTCTCAATTCTCAAATTTTAAGTTAAATTTTTAGAAATTTTTTCTTAAGGTTTTTCAACCCTGGTAATTATTATATCTCATCTGAGAACTTAGAACGTTAAAAACACGACTGAAAATTGGGAATCTATTTGAGCTATCCATTCATACAAATCTGCTTTAGTCAATGAAGTATAGGAGTACTTAGCTCCACACGGTGGGGGAGAGGCCCTCAGAGCTTACCAGGTGTGGTCTGGCTTCTCGGTCGACCAGCTGGAATGCTGCAACACCGGCCATCGTCCTATAATTTTCAATGTTCTGTTGCATTTCCATGTGCTCTGGGTTGGCCATGAAAAACGTGTGGGCTGCTTCCACTGCCTTTTCCAGTTGGTTAAGCTACAGAGAAAAAAAAGGAAGACCAGATAAAGGCAAATGTTTCTAAACTGGGCCAAGAGAAATAGAGCCCAGCCCAAGATCTCACCGCTTTAAAGTGGCAAGGCCAAGCCTGACCCTGCGGTGTAGCAGGTAAGCCCTCTGCACAGGGAGCTGGATCCCACATGGCTGACTGCAGTTTGAATGCCAGGCCTGGAGCCTTGAAAAACATACCTGCTGTGTGTGTCGCAAATACTGATGGGATAGAGAAATAAAGGGAAACCACTGAAGCATGACCATGCCTCATTAGGAGGTTCTCGTTCTCTCTCTGGCAAGAGCCCTCACACCCTCTGGCAATAAACACATCCATGCAAAGCCACACTAGATTCAATCCCCACAATAGGATATCAGGCGGTAATAAACAGTCGCCCTAAAATGGTGTGTAGATGGCTTGGCTTTAGTGAACAGAAACAAATGTGCTTTGTTCTAAGTATATTCTCTCTTTTTTAATCTAATCAACTGTGTTTTCCGGGAAACTGGATATGTATGTTTCTGTTTGTATTATGATGAATCAAAACGAAGAGCTGCCAGAACTGTGCACCTCCAGTTTACATTTCCAACATTCTTGTCCTAGATGGTCTCGTCTTTCTTTTTGTTTATTTTGCCTTAGTCCTGAAAATGGGAGGGCAAACAAATCTATGACTTTCCAAAGGAGGAACTGTTCTTAGGCTTTACAAAGTAAACAACGCAAAGTTAAAGAGCAAATTATCCTATGGTATTAAAAAAAGCTAAATACAGCATACAGAATGGTCTACTGCACTCCTTTGATTGAGGCAGTTGATTCCTAGACTTACAGCTTTGATTCTCATTATAAACAAGAAGAAGAATCACCCTCTAATTTCCTTAATATGCTGCTCTCCATCAAATAAACAATAATGCTTTTTTAAGAAAATGGAATTCAATTTACTCAGTTATAGACTTTTTCCCTTCTTTTGTTGTCAGTGGGCACATGTACTTGCCAGAGACAGAGAGACAGAGAGGGAGACTGTGGTCATACCACAATCTCTCTCTCCATTTCCCCATCCTGTCTGGATTTGGAGCATACATGCACATGTGCCCTGAGTGATTTTCAAGGGGTGGCCTGGATTCCAAGCTCACTGTCAGCCATGTGGGATCTGGCTCCTTTAACCACTAGTCCATGGGATTGGCTCAATTTAAAGCATTTTGATATACATCTCAGTTACGGGGGATTTATTTAGACATACTTGTTTATCTAATGTCACAAAAATATTCACAGTAGTAGTATTTTTATTTTCTGAATGAAATCCAAAATCTGTTTGAACCATTTTAAAGTATGAAGAAATAAAACTTTTTTGTTATTGAACAGGTAAATATAAAATTACATGGGCTCAGCAGATGGCGTAGAGGTTCCGTCACTGGAATCCCACATGGCCTACTGCAGTTTGAATGCCAGACCTGGTGACTTGAAAATCACACCGGGCATGGGTGCATGTGTGCCCAAGATCCTAGGAGGAAAATGGAGGAGAAGGGATTGCGGAATGGCTATCCCTCCGGGTAGTGATTTCTCACTTTCCCTCTCTGCGTCTTTGTCTCTCTCTCCAGTGAGTGCATGTGCCCTAAGGCAAAAATCTCTCCAAAAACTTAATTAATTAATTAAATAAAATTACATAACAGCATGCAACAGTCTATTAGATCTGATTTTGTCAATCCAGCCACTGAATTATGTAAAATTAGATACAAGTAGTAAGTAGGCATACAAGTTCCCAATCATTGCAATCTGGTGATGCATAAAGAATCAGCTCTCACCAGAGAAAACGTAAACTGGCATCCTTAATATATGAGACCTTGCACCCTCAACTCTGTCACCCTCAACCTTTCCTTTCTTTTTTTTTTTTTTTCAACTTTTTAATTTTTTTGGAGAGGTTTTTGCTATAGGGCGCGCCAGACAGACAGAGAGAGACAGAGAGATAGAAAGTGAGAAATCCCCCCCCCAGGGGGGATGGCCACACCACAATCCCTTCTCCTCCATTCTCCTCTTGGGATCTTGGGTACACACGCACATGCACCTGACGTGAGTTTAAGCCACTGGGTCCGGGACACGAACCACAGTGGACTACATGGGAGTCCAGCGACATAGCCATTACACTAATTGCTGGTCCCAACCTTTCCTTTGTTTCATTTAATTTGTATGTTCTTAGCTACTTCCCTCCCTTCCATTAAATCCTGCCATAAAACCACTTTTCTTCACCACTATTACCTTCATCCTCAAATTTCTGCATCCAGAATTATTTCAACTGCAAAAATCACTGGTTTGAATTGCTCACTGGTTTCTTTCTCTCTCTTTCTCTTTTAATATAATTGTAGCTTCCGATTTGCATATAGCCATTTTATATGTTTGTGGGATAGAATATGGTTTTGCAAAACATGCATACAGTGTGTAATAATCAAATAAAGGACATAAAAATGTTCACCATATCCATAGATTTGCTTTCTTTCTTGATTTTAATTTTCCCAATTTCTCACCCATAACATAGGTAAGTACAAACTGTATGGATTTCTCAATACTGGCAGCTACCCAGGTACAGAGCAAAGAGAGTATATTATAAATTCTACTTGAGTCCACTTAGATGAATATGCTTCAGAAATCACTAAAACATTCAAATATAAATAGCATATCATTTATAAATGATCTTTCAGTTTTCAGAATGTGACTGTGCTGTCATTAATGAGGAATAGAGTCTATGGTTTCATGGAAATATAATTCATGAGGATATAGTACTTATGGTTGGTGAAAACCGTCTCCAGACAATGAACAACTGGAAGGATGAGTAAAACAGGTAAGTACTGACATACTCTGGTTCACTAAAACCAGACTTTAAGTTGATGAAACACAAATAAATATTTATGTGCTTCATTTTATTGCCATTATGCCTTTGCTCAGGCTGTTCCACCGACTAAGACAACCTTTGTAACTATATTTTTTCTTATTAAAATATAACATACCCTATAAAGCTACACTTACATGCTGCCCCCTCTAAGAGCCCCTTTCCCAACCTTACAGCTCCACTCACAGTGCCCCTTATCCCTGGTCTTCCTTGGCACTTACATACTCTGCCGTACACAACCTGCGTGTATCTGCTCTTCCCGGTGGGGCTCTCTATGGATAGGAATCATAACTTGTTTATCATTTATTTTAATTATGGTCCCTAAGACTGAGTCATAGATATAGATGATATCTAAGATATATCTAAGAAAAGAGAAAAAAAACGTGTAAGAAATAGATCTTCTACACATCACCCAAGGGGTGTAATCCATGTGGATGTGTCGGAAGCTGAGGTACCAGCAAGTTTGACAAAAGGCTCTCTGCAGTCATCGTTCTCATGGGGAGCTCCCAGTGTACTAGAGATGAGTGTGATTCAGTACTCTTGGAGACTACCGGCTAAAGTTGATAAACTGATTCGTTTTCTCAATCTGAAAACATGGGCTTTTTGCTTATTTGATGCTCTCCCCCTTTATAACCCAGAATTGAACTTAATATATCCTTCCTCACATAAAAACAAGAGTTCATGACTTAAGGTTGTTCCATGAAACTTCTTCACGCACTGGCTCTAGCTTTTAAATTCTCATGAACCCATTCAGGAAACTAGAATTGGCTGCCAAGATCTACTACATAGACCATGATTTGAACTGGAAGTTTGCAATCTTTGTACTCCTTTTTAGAAATGAAATACACACAACTAAATTGGGGGAAAAAAAGTCTAAGTAAGCATATGTATGCTACATCATTATGTCATATCACTAGAGGAAGATTATTATTTGCCTTGTAAAGACTAGATTTCAGCTAAGGAAGGATCTACCTATTACTCCACTGAAACAAACCAAGAGCAAACTGCCTTTAAAGGTTCCAACAGACTTCCTTTAAGATCTAATCAAAATAAACTACAGATGAGGGCACCTCTAATATGAGGATAACTCCGTGCATGAAAAAAACCAAAGTATGAAATGAAGAACAGCTGAGGAAAGGGCAATGATCTGACAAAAAGATGGCATTTAACATTTCAAAGAGGCCACTGCCTCAGTGAGTTGGAAGAAATGTTGGTAAGAAATGGCTTGAAGAAGTGCTGGGTCATTTCGTCTCAGGTTATGAAAAACTAAGACAAATACTTTTTTTTCCACCAGCCCAGAAGCACGACTGTACGTGGCAGTCAGGCTGCATGGAAAAAGAAATGAACTGACGAAATCAACGCCCTGCTAATATTTAGAAGTTACACTGTCCTTGAACTGGGGAGTGAATGCTGTTCTTCCGACATGCACATCCTTTTCCATAGCTGGTAATAAAGGCATTTTTAAAGCACACAATGATTATTCCAAAATTGTCAGTAGCTACCCACTGTTTACAAATTCAGCAAGTGTTTTGTACCAATTCTGTGCCAGACATCTTGACAGTCAATGAGAGTACCAAGGCAGACAAAGGCCCTGTGGTCTACAGGCTTACATTCTCATCAAAGGGAACAAATCTCAGGTAAATAAGTAATTAATGAAAATAATTCGGGATTGTGCTTACTACTCTGGAAAGAAGCAGAGGAACAAACAAGAGGTGTGAGCCCTGGTTGGGATCAGGCTGGAAGAGCGATTTTAGATAAATTAGTTAAGGAAGATCCCTCTGCAGTGTAATTTTAGAGCTGAGATCTAAACATTGAGAAGCTAGTTAGGAGCTGAACAGCAGTATGAGTGTTTCAGGCAAAAGAAAGTCAAAAGAGAGGGCCCTGGATTGGAAAAATTTGGGCATGATTTAAAAGCAAAGCAGAGACAAAATGAGATTTGAGGAGCCAGAGAAGGTTGATCACTTGTAGGTCTTTGAATGTCACTGTAAATGTAAGAAGAAATCAAAAAAAAATTTTAAAGAATTATTTTATTTAACTTTATTTCTTTTTTTTTTTTTTCATTTGATCATAGAGGGGGAGAGAGAGAAAGTGAGCAGGACTCGAACTGCAGTCAGCCATGTGGGAGTCCAGTGCCCTTAACCACCACACCATCTGCCGGCTCTGTAATCATTAAAGAATTTTAAAAAGTGATGTAACAAAGCCTAATTTATATTTTTAAATTACAATTTAGACTGCTACATAGAAAATAAATCTTTGTAGCAGGCAAAGTGAAGTCACTTTCTTTTCTCTTCTTTCCTCTCCATTTTACTCAATATCTTTATTTTAACGATGTTTCTCAATGCAGAAGGCAGATACATATCATACAAGGAAGCAATGATAAAACTTCCAAAGTTAAAAAATTTGTTTTCTTTCTTCTAAATTAGGACAAATATAAAACAAAAATATGGGAACCAGCAGTTGGTGTAATGGCTATTTCGCTGGACTCCCATGTACTGGACCGTGGTTCAAGTCCCAGACCTGATGGCTTAAAACACGCACCGTGGGTGTGCGTGTGTGCCCAAGATCCCAAGAGGAGAATGGAGGAGAAGGGATTGCGGCGTGGCCACCCCCCCTGGGGGGTGATTTCTCACTTTCTGTCTCTCTGTCTCTCTCTGTCTGTCTGGTGAGCGCACACGCCCTATAGCAAAAACCTCCCCCCACACAAAAAAATAACATATAAATATGTTGAATATGAAGGTAAAAACAGCTTGAAAGACATGCAACAAAGGAACGGGTTAATTCTAAATCACATTAAAACGTGGAAGACCACTTTCCACTTCTGAAACAGAGTTTTGGCACCAGGCTTTATCTTCTGAATGCTTTTTGTACACAGAAAAACATCAAGCTTACAAGTAATTTCCATTCTTCTATCAAACATCGATGTTTTCCATAACGAAGGGAATTCTTTCTCTACTTTTATCACCGAAGCTTTGGGAATGTATCCAAGAGTATTCATTACCTTTGGATGAAGTGCTATATTTTTGCTTTGGCTCTTTACCTAAGTTTCACAAGATAGCAACTTCAGAAATTTTTAACCCCTCATAAGGTTTCTTATCAGCTGACAGGTATGCAAGTGGACACTGAAGACGCCCTATTTGTAAGACAAGAAGGATCTTTAAGTTGGAGCTAGAGAACTTAAACATTTAAGCACACTAGAGAGAGAGAAAGGGAACTTAAATGAATTGTATTTCTTTCCTACATCTTAATGTAGAGCATGTAGAACTTCGTAGCTGTAAAGAGCGTGTCAATTCCTAAGTTAAGTGCTCATGCTAATGTAGAGAATGAACTTATCTTTGCATTTATGGAATGTTAGCCTAAAATGTAGTCATGGTTATAAGTAAATATTTATAGATTTTAAAATGCTATTTGGTAAGGATTAAATGGGAAATGACATTTCCTCTGTGGAGTGAGTTGGAAAGGAAGGCTATGTCTTTTTTAAAGTACTTTCTTTTGCCAAACTACTCATGTTCTTTCCTTCAATTACTTATAGTCCTGAGACGGATTAATAGACTCCTGCTCTTTCTAAATACTCTAGAGAAGTTTTAATCTTACGTGTACCTCCTAATGCTGAACACTGACACTGCATAGCCACTGCCAGATGAGGCTACCCCATGAGCTCAGTGGGATAACAGGCTTTACCAGCTAAATTTGCTAGAGGTTTCTTACAAATAAAAAAAGAAAGAAAGAAAGAAAGAAAGAAAGAAAGAAAGAAAGAAAGAAAGAAAGAAAGAAAGAAAGAAAGAAAGAAAGAAAGAAATCGGTTTGAGTAAAGAAAGCACCAAAGTGAAAAAACAGAACTTTTAACACATTTCAGATTAGACTATTTAAAACTAAAAGTCATAGATGTTAAAAAAAAAAAAAAAGCTACAAAGTGTTAACCATACTTAACCATACTTAAAATCCCTCCAGCTGTCTATGTGCTGTCTAACTTCCTAACAAGAGAAAACTAAAACTTGGGTGGCTGCTGAGTAAGGGGGAGAGGGCAGGGTCTTGGCTATGGAATGTGGACCAGTCACTTCTACCGGGTATAGAAGAAATTAGCATGCATGGTTGATCAGTACATTACTGTTGTTTTTGGTTCTAATCACCAGGACAGAGTAAAACTGAGTAGCCAGGCAGGCATCTTAACCTCGGCAGTGTTTGTTCAACAGTCTCCCTTGGGGTGTCAGAGGATGACTAATGGTTACCGAAAATGAGCTGGGGCCAAGACCTCGCTGACATTTGCTTCCTGCTACTGTTTTTGGAAACGTAGCTTAACCCTCTTCAAAAATTTCTTTTAAGGGTAGGTGTCACTCATTTCATACTCCTGTTTTGCCAATGTCCTGTAACTATTGTAATAATTATCACTTAAAATGTAAAGAACCTCTTCATGTTAGATTCTGAAAAAAAAAAAAAAAAACCAACAGAAATCCAATATCCCTCTCAATGAGCTCAGAACTATACTGCTCTCATACATTACCCCCATATTTGCCAGATGATCTCGTTTGTGAAGTTAATAAGGATTACCTTTATATACTGTTGTGTAGTTTGCAAAGCACTTTGCAACACTACTAAAGGAATTAACAGCAATCAGGCTGGCCCTGTAGTACAACAGTCTGGTGCTAGGCAGAAGAAATTAGATCCCACATGGCTAACCAGAGTTCAAGTTCCAGCCCCATCTGATTGAAAAACACTCCGGGCACGCACACATGCCTAGGGTCCTCACAGGATGGAGAAATGGGACAAAAAGGATTGTGGCATGATGAAGTCGCATTGGGAGTTGCACTCTCTCTCTCTCTCATACACACACACACACATGCATGCACCCTCTGGTATTAAAACGAAAAGGCAATAATGTTCATGTATTGGGATTGCATGATGGCAGAGCAATAATGCAATATTTTGCAAAGCCAACCTCGTAGGAAGGTTCTGGGTTCATGTCTGGAGACCTCACTGTAAACACTGGGTACACATGAGCCCATGACCTCGAGCTGGCTGAAGCTGGGTGTGGATCATGGCATGAGGGATCCTGTTGTGCTGACCCTCTCTCTCTGTCCTTCTTGTCTATGGTGGAAAGACATACATTTCTAAAAATGATCATTTATTGAGTATGTAGTCAATAGAAACATGAAATTCTTCAAAAAGCTGGGAACTGAGCCCAACCAATATTTCAGAGACAGTGCAGGGGTATTTATGGAGATGCAATATCATACAAACAATGATTTGTATCACCAAGTAGAAACTTAGGCTAAAACAGAGTTTCCCTTAACAAATATCATGGTATAAAAAGAAATTCTGTCATGTTAGTTCAGTCATGTTTGCTTTTGCCTGGATTCTATTATGACAAATGAAGATGAATTTTGTCTTTCTTTAATGACCCATTATACAAGTTCTAGCTGGCCATATAAAGCCAAAAGTCAACTCTCTAACTGCTCATGACTAGAGTATGTTTGCAGCCATTAGTACCCGGATCACAGCCTCAACCTCCAGCTGTATAATGTCACGGTCATTTGAATTTATTTGTCCAAAATGGGAGGAAAATGGCAGTTAGCTGTAGATTTCTGCTTGTAAACTTTCTTTGAAAATCAGCAGCAAAATAACTTAAAATAAACCTAGAACTGATTTTTCTGATACTGAGAATCTGAAAAACAATGCAAACATTATTTTTGGTCTGCAGTATTGTTTTGTAAAATGACAAAGTGACTGGCATAAAATGCTTATCATAAGGGAGAAGGATTGCAAAGAAAGCACCAGAAACTGAAGTGCAGGTTTATTTCCAGTTTCGCCTTTAAGTCTCCATGTTTCTTAGTGGATTGTAGATTGAGATTTACGAGTCATAGAAAAGAAATAATCAAATGGGCCTTGGCCTGCTGAAAGTTCTAGCAATGTTAAAACAACCCTGGAAATAGCCTGGCAAAAATTAAAGATTTGGGACCAGCAGATGGCATAATGGCTATGTTGCCATAGTCCCATGTAGTCAACCATGGTTCGAGTCTTGGACTGGGAGGCTTAAAACTCATTCCAGGCATGTGTGCACGCATACATGGCGTGGCCATTCCCAAGGAGTGATTTCTCACTTTCTGTTTCTGTCTCTCCGGTGAGCAGATACAACATACAACAAAAATATCTCCAAAAAAAAGTGAAGATTTGAGGAAGGTTTTGGGGTTTAATGATATACATTAGATACGCTGTGTCATCACAATTTCTGACAAGCCTGATCTCCCTTTCGTTTCATATTTACTGAGCAAATTTAACATTCCACCCAAACCACTCTGCTGTGAGAAATGTAAGAAAAGCAAACAAGCCTATTAAAAGCTTTTCCACTTAGACCTTTTCGGTATACACATGCCAGGTTCTTCTGTGAAATTCAAACTCTTGCTCTATGGGATGGGGAAATTTATTTCAAAAAAATGTTCCAAACACTCACTCCTGCTAATGTAAAGGAAAGCATGGCTGCATTCCAAAGGGATTTCACACCAAAG